TCAAGACAAGAAAGGAGTAGTTGAGTCGCCTCCTTTTTTCCGGCGGCTCAACAGCATTGCTATTCTTGAATCTTAATTAAGCACAAGTTACTCTTACTTATCTTACCGATATTCCTTACATTCAATGTATTTTCTGTTCGGTTTATTTCGATGGCTTCTCTAATTTTACGTTTATCCGCAGACTTGCCATTGAGACCATTCAATCTCGTGTCCTGTTTCTGCCCTGTGCTCAACCTGCTTCGATATTTGAACTTAACAGTCACCCTTTGTCGAATGGGACGACAAGTCACCACATGAACACATTATTGTTTAGAAACCCAATCTGGATAATGGGTCAACTTTCTCTTAAGGTGGGCATAATTGAAGAAAGTGTCGTAGTTTCTCTGAAGACCGTTTTTATTCCCCATTTCCTTACTTGGTCACCTATCCTTTCACCATTCAAAAAGCTATTTTTTATTAATCCAATGTTATTTTTAATCAACCCTAGGGAATAATTATTCTCAAGAAATATTATTTTAAGCCGATTCAGTTCATTGTCACTGGTCTATATCGGCTAGTCTCATGCCTCGAATAATCATAGATTTTAAAACGCCATTTTTTGCTTTATGACTAAGATTGGAGAAGAAGTTAAGTATAAAGCCAGCATGTGTTGACTTTCTATAGACATCCCTGCTTTACTTCTCACCTGCTCTGATTACTAAGACTTCTAAAAAGGGTAAAATATTGTTCACCTCCATCTCCATTGTAAACTTAATATTGCAGTCAATCTGGTTAATCAAGAACATGAAATTATCTGAATTATCCTTGCAGTGCTGCCATATGGCAAAGTAGTCACCCATATATCTAATTAACAGTTTGGGTGTCAATCTAACGTTTTCCATGAAGTCTTCCTCCATTCTTGACATGTAATTATGAGCTATAATGGGAGCTAAGCAAGATTTCATTGCTAGGCCTTCCATCTGTTTATTAATCTTATTATTAAAGGTGAAGTATGTGCTACTCATGGATAGATTAAGAAGCCTTAAGATTGAGCTTTTGCTCAGATTTTCTTCATCATTAATTTCTGGGTGCTCATCTAGGCTGAGTGCTGGTGCTTCAATAGCATTATGAACTCGGATGTTAGTATACAAAACAATTGTTTTGCGGTTCCTACATAATTTGGTCATGCGTATCATTCTTCCTCTTTTTTATGCAATTTACAGTAGACTAATGAATTACACTTTATATTTTATTTTATCATATTTAGGTATTCTTCGGTCGAGCCTCTCAGGTCTATCATCCTGACATCGATTTATCTCAGGAGGGCGAAGCCTCTCGTATCTCACGATGTCACGGCTATATTCGTCAAATGCTTGATGGTTCTTTCCGTTTGGCTAATTTTGCTGATCGCCCTGTCTTTATTGATGGCAGCCCTATTCTAAAAGGTATGTGTATACAAAATATAAGAACGCACTTTGTCCAGTTTCTTGAATATGCATAATGACTTTCAGAATCGGATCGTGGGCTCGATACATTGCAAAACGTTTCGCCGGCATTGTCAGTGAGCCTTGCTACTTAGCACCACATTACACCTCATCAAATAGACAAGATGTATCTTAAGCAATACTGCTACTTAAACTTTAAATTCCACTGTCTGCATAATCATTTCCAAAGTTGAACCGTACACGTGGTACATTACCAAACATTTCGCCGGCATCGTCAGTGAGTGTCGCCATACTAAGCACCATACAGCAACTCGACAAAGAGACAAGTGAAGCCGATCCTTTGACCAAACTTGTGCTAAACAATTTTGCTATCTCCCCTTCTGCCCTGGGTTATTCGCATTTTCGGTATCCTCCTATCATGCCTTCACTATTACACTTTTTACCGTGTTTATTTAGATAGTGTGCTCCTTTGAGCGACCTGACACCTTCATACTCTAACTGTCGTTCTCACCCCCCACCCACCCCCATCCCTATGCAGGGAATGTTAATCAGTCTGCTTTATTATTATGCAGTCCTCTTCCCTAGTCTTATCCCAGTCTCCCT